GGTCTTCTTGATAACTATTTTAAATAATGAAGTCTAACTGCATTTTTATATTAAGGGTTGGTTTGAAATTATGGTGCTTTGAAAAAATTAAAAAATCTAGAACACTAAATGATGTTACATATTATATTCAATACCACATTAATTATTTATTTTATCTCATTGGATGTTATTGAATATATTGCATGTCACACCAGGTCGTCTTAAAATGTCTTACAAATATGTAATTGCCTATCAGTACTCTTTGGTTTTTATTTTACACTTTTTATAATTGAGATAAGAGAAAAAAATATTGGGTGGGGGAGACTAATAAAAATATGAAAGAGGGAAGAAGAAATATAGAAAATTGAAAACAAAAGTTTAAAAGTAAAAACATGAATGATTGTTGGTTTTGGGGTTTTAATTTTTTAATGCGTGCCTATATACATTTCTTTACATATTTCTTCCACTCTTCTATATAACCTCAAATCCTAAACAAATTTCATCGGCCCAAGAAATGACGACACATGCACTAAAGTGAAAATAGTTGGCAACCGCCCCTAGGGTTTCGTTTGCTCTTAACCCTTACGTGGAATAGGTAGTAATTGCAAGAGGGGACGCCGCCTATAAATCACGCCTGACAGAGGAGACACCTCTGTTGAGCAAGCGTGCTCTCCATGTCTCACAGGATGGACTCACTTTACTCCAAGGTACTGGGCCATCCTACCCAGAAGATCGTGGATGTGCTCGGTTGGCCGAGTAAGGTCCAAGATGTTCTCCACGATCCCAGAAAGGCTCACAGGTGAGGTTAGCCTAGAAATGGTTGAAAAGGCAAGAAGTCCAACATGATTTTCATAATATAATGATCCCAATAATCATGGTCCGCATACAGGCCATGATCACCGACGGTCATCCCTAATAGGACTTTCAGTTGGTGCCCCTTATCACGTCTAACATAGTCAACCGTTGTTCACTAAATCAGCAAGATAACATTGGGTTTAAACCAACAACTTAGGGAGCGCCACATGTACCCTAATGAATCATCTTCAAGCCCATGGTAGTCTCTATATAAAGACATGTTCATTTCTATGAGAAGGTAACTGTGCCTAGACAAAGAACGCGTTGGTTGTGATTCATTCTACTCAATTAAGTCTAAGTTAGGCATCTCGCCTTTGCTCACACCATATCGGTGTGACAAGGTCTTGTCATTTCTTCCTTGGTTACTAAGACACTGGAGATATTTCTTCCACTTGTGGGGAATTATTTTGTCAAAATTGGTTGTTTCATTGGGAGCTTGTTCATACTCATAGCCATCTCTCAATTCTGAGTATAGAAAACTTCAGGGAAAACAATTTCCAACCCTAGCACTATCGTTATGGTACGTACTCGGATTAATAACGATTTAGGGAAAAGCTCTCAACTTCCTATGGTCCTACCTAGCAAAAAGAATACAACCAAACCCCTCTTCCAAATCATGTTCCCATTTTGGAAGTACATGTTATATATCAATTAGGATCCACCTCTACTGTGGAGAATTGGGTCGATTCCAAGGCCAGAGGTTTCCCACAACCATGGTTTAGTGGTTTGGGGGTCGAAAGTGCTGATGGGATTTGATGTTCGGATAGAACTTCTCATCACCGCCTCCTGCATGCAGAGGTAGGAGCTTAATCAAAACGAAAACAATGGTATTCCTGAGAAGGTGAATCTACTCAAACCTCCTTTGCGAAGGCCCGGTCCAAGGAGAGGCAAATTAGGACCTTAACTTGAGGTTATGAAAAGAACTTGCTCATAACGTTGGGATCTGCGTAGGTTCCCCCTCTGGACGGGCCGCAAGATAGCAGAGCTGCAACAAAGGTGCCTTACTCCCTCAATGGGGAAAAGTAAGGGGGCATGAAATGATCCCAATAGTAGAAAAGTTGTAGGGGACCCATGGAACCTCGCACCACAGCTCTTTCCAGAGCTTTTTCAACATATGGGTAACTCAATGAGGAGCTGTAGTGGCAGTGATGTAGGGGCCATTCGCAGCAATAAGGTCTTATTCCGGTGTCAGCCTTTAGTGGAGTTAGTGAAGATGACAAGTCTAACAAGAGGGTTAGCTTCTTTCCCATAGGACTCAGAAGGCTTCTCTACAAAAGATGTAGAGGAAGAATGCAACGTGATCAACACCCAAAAAGGTAGAAAGGCTGATTGAGCAACACCATAGACAGATGCCTACTTTTTCTAATCAACATGAAAAAGAATAGAGAAGGGACATGCGTACGTAGTCCTCCTCTATGTTTACTAACAGGATTCTTAGGACTTGTTGACTAGGCATTCCAAGAAGTTTTCTCTCCCTCACTTCAGGATGTTCTCTGGGAATGATGAACCAATGGTGCATCTAACGCATTATAGAATTGCAATGCTGTTGCTGTACCAACATAAATATGCATTGATGTGTAAGATAATCCCTACTACTCTAGAGGGAATGGCTATGCAGTCGTTCAATGACCTGCCTTTTTGAACCATTGACAGTTAACAAGAGCTGAGATCAAGTTCTTGACTCAAAATTATGTTCTATAAGGACATAAAGGAGAAGCCAAATCGTCTCTACATTGAGGCTCAATGCAGGAGAGAGCCTAAGTAGTTACACTTAGAGGTTCAAAGCCTAAAAGGCTAATATTAAGAACTATGATTGTTGCATTATAGATTGAGCCTTCAAATTGAGGTTACCTACTGGTCATCATCTTTTCAACACCTAACTAGAAGAGGACATACCTCTTATTGTCCTTGCCAGATAGACTTGATAGGACTAAGATCATTAATATTATGATTAATAATCTGCCACATCGTTGTTGTGTAGAAGAGATCAAATTCACCCCAGACAGGACGAAGATCATTCAAATTATGATCAATAAACTTCTCACAGTAAGGTTTAGCGAAGAAGTGATGCATCTGGAGTGGTTGGCTAACGTAGTATTTGTCAGCAAGAAAGGGGGACAAGTGGAGACACTACGTAGATTTCACAAACTTGAACAAGCATTGCCCAAAGGACAACTTTCCTTAGCCAAGGATAAAAACAACTTGTGAATTCTACGTTTGGGAATCACCTCCTAAGCTTTATAGACGCATATTCTGGGTACAACCAAATCAAGATGCATGAGAAGGATAAAGAGAAGACCTCTTTTATATTTGAAAGGGGTACATACTGCTACAAAGTCGTATCATTCGATCTAAAAAATGTTGGTGCCACATGCAAGAGGTTGGTGAATCGAATTTTTAAAACCTCATTGGAAAGAGTTTGGAAGTGTATGATAGAAAACTGAAATGAAGTAATGGTATTCATCTTTATGTATTTCAGATAGGGATTTGTTTACAACATGAAAAGGAAAAGAACAGGTAAATTAAAACAACTAGCTCTCTCAAACCCAGTACAATGATAAATGAATTATATATACACAAACGTATGAGACCTAAACTATGCTTAATAGTAAGTGTACGACATGCTTGTCAAGAGAAAAAAGAGTAGAGACCATATTACTCACCTTATCCTCAGAAAGTACTATATGAAACTCAACCCTTAGAAATGTACTTTTGGAGTGTCTTTTATCAAATTCCTTGGATGCCTAGTTTCATAGAGAGGTATCAAAGCACACCCAAACCAAATAAAGGCAATCTTATAGATGAATTCCCCTTCAACGAAAAAGGAGATTCAAAGTCTTACTAGCATAGCAACAATGCTCAACCAAAAGAGGACCTATAGGGGTGGCACCTTTCCCGTGGCATTTGGAACATAAGTCGAGGTCCTCATACAGCATGTCATCCGCATTATCCACAATAGCGTGACAGATGTGGACTTTAGTACCCAAAATGGCTACTAACCTAAACCTTTTGGATGAGAACAGAGATACAGCTCTGGTCAGGCAAGTCCAGTACGGTAGCTGGGCTCTTAGTTATGAGTCACCACGACTCAACAAAAGATAAAGAAAAGTTGGGACCTAACTAGGAATGAACCTACATAGTTGAGCAAGCTTAGGGCAGATGAAGCTAGCCAGAGAATTTTATAGCTCATTGACATTGTCATGAGCTAGAGGAGAGTGGCTTCTAGACGGAGGTGAACCCATGGGCATTTTAGGGCTCCAGTTTGAATAAGGACCAGCCTCCGTCTATCCACGTGATCTTGCAGAGTAAGATTCGTCAGTTTGCCTGAGGACCAACCTTTGTCTGGTTGTGGGATCTTGCAAAAGAAGAGTTGTCACGACCATCATTCTCAATCTTTGTTTTCAAGTTGTGCATGTGAGGGTGTTGTTACTAGAGTGCCTCTAGCGCCTTTTATCCAACATTGGAACTTCTTATTCCTCATTTTATTCTGACTCTCATCTTCTCCAAAGTCATGGACGACCAACATGCTGTTGAGAATGGCCTTGACACGGTCCCACATGCTCGTCACGCCTCAATTGATGGACTCACATTAATCAAGGGTTGGCCATCCTACCTATCAAGGTAGATGTGCTAAACATATAAAAGCATGTAAATTTCTATGAGAAGGTGACTATTCCTTAACCTAGAAATCAGAGGGAATTTGGCTCACACAATATCGTGTGACAATGTCTTACTTATCTTTTCTATCTTGGTTGCAGGAAACCAAAGCAATTCTATATATGCTTGTGTGGAATTTATTCTCAACAATTTATTTTGTTTTTAAATGGAATAAACTAAAATTGAGATAATTATCAAACCATCACTTTCACCCAAAAAAAAAAAAAAACCATTACTTTAATTCGTAGATATGTTTTTGTTTAGTCCGTAAAATTTTTTTTTAATGGTCCCTGCATTTATATATGCTATAAGAATAGACTCTGATTTCCATTAGACTCAAGGGCACTCCACCATTAACTCTATAGAATTTTGTAACTCATATTACTCGTTGTTGCCATTTGAGAAGCAAAGTGGAACACCAGTAAAATTTAGAAGGCAAGTTTGTAATTAATTATATAACTTTCTAATAATTATTTTTTAATTTTTTGTTACTTTGGTGATGGCCACAGATGACTACACAGAAGAGCAAGCCGTGGCACACATCCGGCGACTGATGGACATCGTCGCTTGCACGACATCTTTTGGTTCGTCATCCGCTTCTTCACCTAAAACGCCTGGCCGATCAAACTCAAAGGGCGACGTACCGCAGCACCAAAACGACGACGGGCCCAATGCAGATGCAAGAGCCAAAGTTTCGGGTTCAATTTCGATCGTTGATGCCGAGTCAGCTGCTGCCTCAACCGTGTCAATGTATCCTCCTCCAAAGCTCGGGCAGTTCTACGACTTCTTTTCCTTGTCTCACCTTACGCCTCCTCTCCACTGTATGCTTTCCTTCCTCTCTCTCCCTCCCTCTAGAATATGATGGTTTTGTTGAATGTTTATACTTAATGAAGTTGGTGCTTGTTTTGCAGACATAAGAAGATCTACGCGTCCGTTCCTTGAGGATAAGACAGAAGACGACTTGTTTCAAATGGACGTACGCGTTTTGCAACTATATGTGTATTTTTATTTTAAACTTGGGTTGAGTTGATAATAGTATAGTATTTGGTGAATTGCAGATTCGGGTTTGTAGCGGGAAGCCGACGACAATCGTGGCTTCCAGGAAAGGATTCTACCCTGCTGGAAAACGAGCTCTAATAGTTCACTCTTTGGTTGTTCTTCTTCAGCAAATTAGTAGGCCATTTGATGTTGTATGTTCGAAACTATTTCATGTTTTTAATTAGGTGTTTATTTTTTATTATTGTATTTTACTGTTTTGTTGTTAGTTTAAAATTAATTTTTGTGTGGTTGTTGGTTGCAGGCATACAACGCTGTTATGAAGGCTTTCATTGAGCACAATAAAGTAGGTTTTTAGTGTGACCATATATCAATTCAAACTTACATACGATGAATAGGAGAAGAATATTTTACCAGAGCTTGTTTATTATTTTTGATCGCAGTTTGGAAACCTTCCCTACGGTTTTCGGGCAAACACATGGGTTGTCCCTCCAATTGCTGCTGATAAACCGTCAGTTTTCCCATCACTTCCTTTGGAAGACGAAAACTGGGGAGGAAGCGGAGGTGGTCAGGGAAGAGACGGTAAACATGATTACAGGCCATGGGCAAAGGAGTTTGCCATTCTAAAAGTAATGCCTTGCTCAACATCAGAGGAGAGGCAAGTGCGAGACCGCAAGGCTTTTTTGCTTCACAGTTTATTTGTGGACGTCTCTGTTCTTAAAGCTGTTACAGCAATTAAGCGTCTAGTTGAGACTAACCATTGTGCCTTAAATGATCCCACTTTTTCACTTGTTCACGAGGAAAGTGTTGGAGATTTAATCATTAAGGTGACCAGAAATATGCCCGATGCAAGTATAAAGGTAGACTGTAAAAACGATGGCAGCCAAGTTCTTGGAATTCCGCAAGAACAAGTTACTCAGAGAAACCTACTCAAAGGAATAACAGCTGACGAAAGTGCAACTGTTCATGTGAGTATACTGATAGTATTTTATAGTCCTACTTCTATAATAAAGTCAAGACGAAAAATATCGAATACTGACTTTTGGTCTTGTAGGATACTGCTACACTAGGTGTTGTGGTTGTCAGACTTTGTGGGTTTACGGCTGTTGTGAGGGTTTCAAGTGAGGTGAATTGGGAAGGAAAACCTGTTCCTAAGGACGTTGAAATTGAGGACCAGCTTGAAGGTGGTGCTAATGCTTTGAATGTTAATAGGTAATGCTTTATATTTTGGGCTTGCTAAGTGATTGGTGGAATGCCTTTTGGAAGAGTGTGTATATGTACATCCAAACCACAAAAACTTAAGGTAGTAGGATGTAGGCCAACATTACTTTGTGCACAACTAAACCACTAAATACTAACAATTACAACTATATGTTTCCTCTAACATTTACATTGCACTATTTCAGCTTGAGGCTGTTATTGCAACAGTCCTCCCTGCCTCAATCATCAAATGCGGTTATACGTACAGATTTTGAAAGTATACTTACTACTAGATCTCTCGTGAAGAAAGTACTTGAAGACAGTCTGTCAAGATTGCAGGATGGACCCACTAATAATACTAAGTCCATTAGATGGGAGCTAGGAGCATGTTGGGTACAACATTTGCAAAATCAAGCTTCGGGAAAAACTGAATCTAAAAAAACTGAACAAGCTAAGATTGAGCCAGTTGTTAAGGGTCTTGGAAAGCAAGGGGGGTTACTAAAGGAAATTAAAAAGAAAATGGATGTCAGGAGCAACAAAACTGACCAGCTGAAGGATGTTGTTGGGGTTAACAACCTTGATATGAATCAGAATTTTGATACCACTACTCAGGAGGAATTAGAAAAGCGAGATGTAGAAAAGGAAACTATTTGGAGAAAGATGCTTCCTGAATCGTCATATTTGCGCCTCAAAGAATCAGAAACTGGTCTTCACCTTCAGGTTTTCTAGATGCTTTCCCTCCTATTGGCGTTATGCTATGTAGTTTTCATGTTGCAAATGCGATAAATTGTGCTCATATTTGCAGTCACCCGATGAGTTGATTGAAATGGCACATAAATACTATGTTGACACTGCACTTCCAAAACTGGTTTGTTTCTAAACTCTACTTCTCAAACTCCCCTTTCTCACTTTATTTTGTTTGCCTTCAGATGTCTTCATCTTAGTAATTTTTGTCGTTGTGTTAGGTTGCAGATTTTGGCTCCCTTGAACTTTCACCAGTCGATGGAAGGACATTGACAGATTTTATGCATACTAGGGGTTTGCAAATGTCTTCCCTAGGACGTGTGGTAATTATTTTTCGAAGTTTCTTGTACATATTTGATTTGTTACTTCTTCTACTATAACAGTATGTTACCCCAAGAATGTCATTTTGCGCATCACCATGTATATCCTCTCCCTTATGTTTTAGTAAATGAGTAGTGATGGATGACCTTTTCAGAGTGTCGATAATAGCTCTCATCTTCTTTATGTTTAATTATAAAAGTGATTGAGCGAATAAAGATAATATGTAAGTAGTTCTATGTACATATCTTTGTTCATCCTAGATCAGATAGTGTGCAACTTGTCTTATTTTATCCGTGTCATTTTAGGTTGAACTTGCAGATAAGCTTCCTCATGTACAATCACTTTGTATCCATGAGATGGTTGTGCGAGCCTACAAACACATACTCCAAGCAGTTGTAGCAGCAGTTGATAATATTGCAGACTTGGCTGCATCAATAGCGGCATGTTTAAATATATTGCTAGGAACACCATCAACTGAAAATGGGGATGTAGATATTACTTATGATGATGCATTAAAATGGAAATGGGTGGAAAGTTTCCTTTTGAAGAGGTTTGGGTGGCAATGGAAACACGAAACTGTTAAGGATCTAAGGAAGTTTGCCATTCTCCGTGGATTGTCCCACAAGGTAAATATGAGCTGACCATTGGCTACTCTATATATATATATATATATATTTCATGTCTTAATCTTAGCTGCTTGAATCCCTGCATTTTGAATTATTGAAACACAATCACCATTCATCAGGTTGGACTTGAGCTTGTTCCTAGGGACTACGATATGGACAATGTATCTCCTTTTCGGAAATCAGATATAGTAAGCATGGTCCCTGTATATAAGGTAAACACTTGATTGGAAATTGGACTCTCAAGTTCCATTAGGAGTTTTCTGTTTGTATGAAATTGTTGCTTCTTTGGGCAGCACGTTGCATGTTCATCCGCGGATGGGCGTACACTCTTAGAATCGTCCAAGACTTTGTTGGATAAAGGTAAACTGGAGGAAGCGGTTAATTTTGGCACTAAGGTACGGAGGAAAGCATATTATGTTGTATACATATCTATTAATTTTCGGAAGGTAAGAAAGAATTGACCCAAACTTTGATATGAATTCTGGAAGGCACTCTCAAAACTAGTGTCAGTATGTGGGCCTTATCATCGAATGACAGCGGGAGCATATAGTCTTCTTGCTGTAGTATTGTACCACACTGGGGATTTCAACCAGGCGACCATCTATCAGCAAAAGGCATTGGATATCAACGAGAGGGAGCTTGGACTTGATCATCCTGATACGATGAAAAGTTATGGGGATTTGGCTGTTTTCTATTACAGACTTCAACATACAGAGTTGGCCCTCAAGTATGTATTGTATGCAGTGCTCTTATTATTCAATGTCATCAGATCTCATCCTAGTTATGGATTAACTTGTGATTTGTTTTAGGTACGTCAATCGTGCTTTGTATCTTTTGCATCTAACATGTGGGCCGTCTCATCCAAATACGGCTGCCACCTATATTAACGTGGCAATGATGGAAGAAGGTTTGGGGAATGTCCATGTTGCTCTTAGGTATCTCCATGAAGCTCTAAAGTGCAATCAAAGGCTACTTGGACCTGATCATATACAGGTTCTCTCTCTCTCTCTCTCTCACATTATTATTGCATTATTCTTCTGCTTTATACTAATTGGTAGCACGCATTTCTGGTTACTTCAGACCGCTGCTAGCTATCATGCCATTGCTATAGCACTCTCTTTGATGGAAGCTTACACATTAAGTGTTCAGCATGAACAAACTACCTTACAGATACTTCAAGCAAAACTTGGCTCTGAGGATCTACGCACACAGGTAACAACACTTCATAATTCATCTCATATTATTTATTTAGCAAATCTTTCTCCCACCTACAAACACTTCATAATTCATACATTGAATAATATTGTAGGATGCGGCTGCATGGCTTGAGTATTTCGAGTCTAAGGCTTTGGAGCAGCAAGAAGCTGCACGCAATGGTACTCCAAAGCCAGATGCCTCTATCTCCAGCAAAGGACATTTAAGGTAATTAATAACAAATATCAGAATAAAATTTAGTTAATTGACGGACCAATGCTCGATCCACATTTCTCTTCAAACCGTCACCCTTCTCCTATTAGCCATCTAATGCTTTCTACTTGTACTTCTTATCGAAAATATCCTCATATTTTGATCACATCAATCAGTGTGTCAGACCTTTTGGATTATATAACACCAGATGCTGATACGAAAGCGAGGGATGCAAGAAAAGCTCGTGCAAAGGTTATAAACATTTTATCTACTTGTAGTTTAATTTAGTCTTGCTCATTTAGTGGTTGTTTGCATGAAATATATGACAAGCTCTCTTTCAATTCAGGTTAAAGGAAAACCAGGAAAAAACGAGGCAATAGTCTCAGATGGATACCAGAAGGATGAAATTTTGTTACCAAGTCAGCTTGTTGCCGAGAATTCAGGTGATAAAGAGAACCAGTCTGCACCTCCATTTGCAGAGCCTAAGCATGAGAAAGTTGATTCAAGTCTACTGGATCAATCAATAATATTCGAAAAAAAAGATGATGCAGCACAAGATGACGCCTCAGATGAAGGTTGGCACGAAGCAGTTCCTAAAGGTCGTTCACCCATGGGTCGCAAATCCTTTCTGTCAAGGAGACCAAGCCTCGAAAAACTGAATACTAATTTTGTGCATGCATCCCAATTGTCACGATACCATGGAAAGCCTAATAGGTTGACATCTCCAAAAACAAGCCCAATTGAGCCTGCTGCTTTTCCTGGACCTGCTCTTCCCGTCTCAAAAAAGTTTGTTAAGAGTGCAAGCTTCAGTCCTAAGCCAAGCAACTCTAGCATGTCAGTTAGTGGAGGGACAGAGAAGCTCTCAAACCCAAGGTCAGCACCTTCTACTCCAGCTTCTATTGATAAAGTTACCAAGTCATCTTCTTTGACAAATCCAACCAGTGTTCAGTCAGCTGGAAAACTTTTCTCTTATAAAGAAGTTGCGTTGGCTCCTCCTGGAACAATTGTGAAGGCAGTGGCAGAGCAATTACCAAAAGGAAATGTTCCCATTGTACAACTTTCTAAGGTTGGCCAGGAGAAAACTGCAACAGATGTTACCGGTGAAGTGATACTAGTTAAAGATGTCGAGGAAGAGGAAAAGCAAAAACTTGTGGGAGAGAAAGTGGATTTGGCTCTTGAGGAAAATAGTATTGATGTAAAACATACAAAAGTGCAGAACTCTGTGGCAAAGAAATCTCTGGGAGTTGTAAAGCATGCTAGTGCTGGAGTACAAGTGGAAACTGAGATCATAGAACTGAAAACCACTGCATATGAAGAAGGACAAGTTGAAAATGCTGAAGTCATGGTTTCAAACGTTGAGATTTCTATTACTTCCCAACCCCCAAACGCTACTCAAAATGGACAATTGCAAACTCAAGCGCTGGACAGTTCGACCAAGGTTTGCCCTGATTCAGAACCTTCATTTGTTTTAACTGAAAGCACAACTCACTTTATGGAAGAAAATTCTTCCCTTTCGGAAGCAAAGGTTGAAGAAGATGGAAGTCCACATGATTTCTCTGAGGGTGGGATAGTTAAGCAAGGGCCAACTGATGGAGAAAAGTTAGATGAACCAGAAACTAGAAAAGAGACCACCAAGAAACTTTCTGCAGCCGCACCACCATTCAATCCATCCCTAATACCAGTTTTTGGTTCAGTTCCAGTGGCAGGTTCCAAAGATCATGGAGGGATTTTGCCCCCACCAGTAAATATTCCTCCTATGCTTACGATCAGTTCTGTTCGTAGATCACCTCATCAGTCAGCAACAGCAAGGGTTCCGTATGGTCCACGATTGGCTGGTGGATATAATAGATCTGGAAGTCGGGCTTCACGTAATAAACATGTCTTCCACAATGGTGAGAACACAGGGGATGGAAATCACTTTAGTCCACCTAGAGTCATGAACCCACATGCGGCAGAGTTTGTACCTGGGCAACCTTGGATTCCCAATGGCTATCCAGTATCTCCTAGTGATTTTTTGCCTTCCCCAAGTGGTTATCCCATGTCCCCAAATGGATATCCATTGTCGCCTAATGATATTCCAGTGACTCAAAATGCGTTCCCAACATCTCCAATTGGTTCAGAAGAGTCGTTAACAATTATAAATGCTCCACTTGGTGTTGAAACAAATATTAAAGGTGAAGCAAAAGAGAATAATGATATGTCTTCATTAGAAGTTGGATGCGAGATGCAAAAAATTGAAGAAGAGTTGCAGAAAGAAGAGTATGTTGATAATGTAGTCTCGCATTCTAATCTTGAAGAAAAGCCTATTGAAACATATACGGTTGTTGATATTGATGTAGCAAAAGAGATCAGCAGCAAATTAGTGGTTGAGGAAAATCCAAGTAAATGTTGGGGAGATTATAGTGACAATGAAGCTGAGGTCATACAAATTTCTAGTTGAAGAGATGGATCGTCTGAAGAGATTTTTCCCACGAAGCATGTGGTATAACTGACTGAAACCTGTCGACTGTGAATACTTGTGATACAGTTTTCTTTCTACAAAGTTGAAGGATAAATTTAAATGGAACTGAGTTCGTAAGCTGAAAGGTGAAAGAAACATGACATGACTACGGAAGTGTTTGTTGAGTACGTAATTCAGTAGTAGATCATATTAATCTTCCAGTTCATTCAATAATTTCTTTTTCTTTTGATTTAACCGTTGTCTGTTTTCAATGGAATCAACCCATCGAATGTGAATCCTCATGATCGTGTATTCCTTGGGTGATGATTGCTTTCAACTTGTAAGACAATAAAGTTCAAATTCTCTCATGTATTAAGATTTTCCAGATATTCCAAATTTTTCGTTTTGTACTCAATTATTTGTTTTCAATCTCATGTATTATATGAATTTACATTCCATGAGTTTGTTTTTTATGCTTCTTCTCTTGAAATTGTATGCCAGCAACAAAATTGGAAAACAAGTAGTCACTAGTAGTCTAGTATAAAAAAGGTAGTAAATGTGTACCGTCGTCTGGTATGAAAGAAAAAAGTCATGTGAGGGTCATCATATAGCATTTGCCTTCTTCCCGAGGTCTGTGCATGACCGATTTCTTGGCCATTTTTTCAGAGCGTTTTTTAATCTCAATCCTCAACCAAAAACCACAATCTACCTATCAAAATAAATCTCAGGACTAGAGGGGTCGAAATATACCTACAAGGAGTCAAACCGTGGTCGGAGATGGCCGGAAATGGCCTAGAAGATCACGGGAGACGCTGGAAAAACTGGGAAGTTTTCCCAGTGTAGGATTTATCTCCTATGATAAATACCATGCATAAGGTGAAGAGTCCACCCATGTGAGAATATTAACCTCCTAATACTTATGTAGCCAACCCGACAACCTTTGAGGTTCTAGACGTGCACCAAAGCACTTGTTCGTATTTGTAGGAGCGTGTCAAGATTCAAGCTTCCGCATAAAGGTACGTACGTTCTTCCTACAATGGTATTAGAGCCACTCACACACTCCTCGCATGATTACATGAGATATTTATGAATATGCCATGTTAGGAATGTTGAAAAACCATGGATGCTAGGGATATGTTCTTTACATTCATTTGAAATTATGTTTAAAATTTGGCAAAGAAAAACCAAGCGGTTAGAGAGAAAATTGAAACTTTAGTCTCGGATTAGCATGAAAAACAAATTTTTCCAAGGTTTTTGCGAGCTTTTTTTTATGCACTTAGAGTTGTTTTTGGAATTCACCCAATAAGACTTAATTGTAGACAATAATCAGAACTTTCTAACGACATAGAATATTCATATTGACAAAGTTATGGCCTCTGTGAACAGACTTCATGAGAACACGAAATCTGGAAGTTCTAGATTTCATGAGGAAGAAGACGAACAATGGTTTGTTCTCTTCGACTCTCGGCCTAGGCGAGTACACCGGTACCGCTAGATATACGGGGATATTGTTTACACCTTTGAACTCGTCTCAAGGGGTCGAATCTAATGGGATATAGTGACACACCCCGACCCGAAATGTCCACTAGGACTTTGAATCGAGCTATGTTGGCTGACACCTGGAAAGTGACGAAGCCATAAAGTGTAATGATGTGGAAAAATCTGAGTAAATTTAAACCTAAAAGTGCCTAAGTATAAGAGTGCACTGTGAGCGGGAATGAACCCATTTCACACATGACGACAGAGGATAAGTAAAGTACAGTACGGTAGATTGAGAATCATACCATCGAAGGTAATCTCCAATATCAAGATTTGCCACAAATCCTCGTCGATAAGAAAGCTCAACTATTAAAACTTAGAGGGGCGAAAAACAAGGGTGAGTGGGCCTGAAAATAAAGTTTTATAAAAACCTTTTGAAAACGATATAACCCCTAGCCATAAAACACGTATAGTTTCCAGATACTACGTATAGGTAAGAAATCAAATGCAAAACAATAGTAAATCCAGAAGTATGCCACATCACAATATCTCAACAGTAATATAAGTAAAATCAAGTGTTCAATCAATCTATACTAACACATAAGTCGCAGTCACCTAATGCGACCTGTACGACAGAACATAGCTCATCAATCTATGCTAGCACATGAGTCGGAGTTGCCTAATGCGACCTGTACAACAGGACTGGGTGTAATCATAATATACACTCTAGTGCTACAATCACGTGAAGATTGGCATTATTCGCGGTCACCTTTGAGTCGGAGTTGCCTAATACAACCTGTATGACAAGATTGGCACCTAATTGGATCCAAGGCGAGCATGCGGTGTGGAGGTGAACATACACGTGAAAGACTGGCCTTGGCCCTAGGTGAGCACTAACACTGGGGTGCAGCAATGATGAGCATACTACATAAATATAAGCATGCCATAGTGATTCGATAGTTCTAATCATCATACTAACATTCATAGCCGTGGATATAATTATGGAATCAAAGATTATAAGCATACCTGTGCATCCCGTAGAATGTAGCATATTTCATAAATTCCGTTACTTCGCTAATTCTTATAAACTTTAGTTTGATCCAGGCATACGAAGAAGATTCTTTGTCAAATATTGATAGGAGCATATTTATGCGATTTTGTTAGCTTATTTCTTTGCATTTACTTAGTTAGTTTCTATTTATTATAGTAATTTAAGCTATTTTCATGTGTTTGTAGGTCCAATTGGCAAAGGTGACAAAAAAGGGCGAAATGGAGCAATTTGGAGCAGTTTTGGACTTGGATTGGATAACATGCGTGGGGAGCACTTGGGATGGACGTTTTTGGTGGTCAAATGAGGCTAGGAATGTGCTACAATCTGTAAGAATTAGGATTGAGGCTTGGAAGATAAGGAATCAAAAATAAAGGGAAACCTTATCCAATCTTATCTTATCCAACCTTATCCTTAACAAACCTTATCTTATCCTATCCTAATCCTACTTTACCTTATCTCCAGCTGCAAGGGGGATTCCTTATCACATTAAACCATTTCCTATCTGATTTAAGGAGTCCTAAAATAATGCAAACAACCTAATCCTTTTCCTCCACAAATTGGGCCGTGCCCCCTGCCCATTAATACTACTTATTGCCGCAACTTTCAAGGGGGGGAGAGGAGAAAAATACAGAGAGTGCCGCATTTCTGAGAGCAAAAGAGTGATTTGTGCTTGCAAGGAAGGAGAGAAGGAGGAGTGCCGTGCACCTGCACCTAAGGATTGTGTCGAATCTGCCATTGGAGTGCTAGGGAATTCCAGAGTTCTTTCTATCCTTATTTTAGTTTCAATGTTTATTTTAGATTGCTTTTCAACTATGATGAACATGTGTAACTAAATTTCTTTTTAGTTAGAGGTGAATTCGAAGCCATGAACATATGTTTTATATGAATTGATTACATCCAGTTATTGTTTCATAAAACATGAATGCGATTTACTTATTTGTTTTATTAAGAACTTGTTCTTGTGTGTTGATTAAGGGTGCACACTTAGTTTGCATGCAGGGATTTGATGCTAGAATATAAGGGAATTTCACCTAATCGGTATGAACTTATATTTACAAGTAGTAAAGGTCACTAGTCATGATTGTGTTAAGTAAATTCCTAGAAGGAGTATCATGCAGTTCATAGTTACGAATGCCTTGTCAATGCTTATGATTTTCACAGAACTTAATGATCTTTGATATGTATCTCTATCCTGCTGTTCATATAGGGAACTTGATAAGAATAATTTGATTGCATCACTGAGTCCAATTCAATGAAATTAGGAAAATTTGAGAGTTAATTAGTGCTATTCACGATTAATTTGGGGCATTGTCATTCATGGTTTATAGGAATAATAACTGGAAATCGATTTGTATGCATATGGTTCATGTGTGGAGAAGAATCCTTTAGCTAGCCTTTCACCCAATTTTCATTCATACTTTACTTTGTTTGATGCAATTTACTTTAGTTTCTTAAATTCATCCAAACCCCCCCCCCTTAGTTCTTATTTGTGTTAGTTTCGTCTAGTTTACAGTTTTTAAGTCCAGTTTGTGTTGATTAGCATCCTTTCTAATCCCCGGCTTAGAACGATCCCTACTTACTCATACTACAATTGTCTACAAAGGGTTTAATTTGTGTGTTAGTTTTTACCACACCAAATATATAAATGGAAACTATCAATCATATATACATATTCAATGAAACTAGTTAAAGTACTTAGTACACAACAAAGTAAATCAGCTAACTTGGACCTGGAGGGGCAAAAAATAGAAGGGTGAGTGGGAAAAAACAAAAGTTTATAAAATCCATTTATTTTTTGAACATGCTAACCCCTCGCTGTAAAACATGTATAGTTTCCAGAAAGTCATACTGTAGACACGTAAATTTTGTTGCATACAAATGATGCATCACAAAGCTCCACGTGGCATATGACTCATCACAAATGGACAAGTCATCAATGACATGTGGCACAAATCAAGCAAAGGAAGCTCAAAAGCATTCCTAAAATTCGGCAAAAGGGAAGAAATCTCCTTAAAATCGGCAAGGGGTCCAAAATCTCTCAAAACTGGAAATTAAGCTAAAGCATCTTCACAAAACAAGCAAGAATTGAAGATTGCTCACAAAATAGGCAACAAGCCCTATAGATTTTGGCCAAGAAAGGGAAAGTGGCTGAAATTAAGCTTTGGAAGTCTACAAATACAAGGTCCCAGGACAAACAAAGGGTCAACAATTTCTACATTGAAAGGCAGAAATTCTCAAAAGGAAAACCTCTGCCAAATCTTTGAAGACTAATATGTCACCAAAGCTCACTTCGAAGAACGCACAACCAAAGCCTAAGCTTTCTTTCGACCAGAGCTGAAGCATTCCCTTGAAGAATCAATAAGCACTCGTGCCGATTCCTTCAAGACTTTGTTGCAAGCTTAAAACTTGTAACGACGTTTGATTCAAGATCAAGTCACCAAGACCCTTGAATCAACAAAATCCCACATCAACATCACCTTTGCTGCAGGTCGTACAAAAACCTAGAGTTGAAGACTATCCATGCATTGTTGCAAGCTCAAAACTTGAAGCAATCGTTCAATCGTTCGTCCGAGATCAAGTCATCGAGCCCCTTGGATCAACAATCAACCATTTACATCAAATTTGAAGACTAGATCAAGGGAAAAAAAAATTGTAAACAAAGATTGTAACCTACAAATTCAAATTAATACAAATCTACTTTATACATGTGTTCTCGTTTCATTTGATACAGAATTTTCGGGTTTACAAATTTGGCACGCTTAGTGGGACCCCTCTGCCTTTCTTCTCTATCTTCAAATCCCCAAGAAACACACATGGCATTAAGAAAGGATCAAGCTATTCCTGCAACTAACACGAAGAACAAGAACATCCTTGCCGCAAGTGGT